TTGCTGGGGCTTAGGTCTGACAATTGGAGCACTCATTGCCCGTACTCCCGCTTCGAATGTCTCGTTGTCCGAGGAGTAGGAAGGCCCTTCATCCTCCAGTGCCATTTTGTCCCACATAGGGGCCTGTGAGCATCGTAACAGCTCCCCTATATCTCGGCTCTTGTTTTTTTTTTTTTCCGGGCCATAGCCTTCTCCTTCATAGGGTGAGGGGCTGAAGAGTTTGTCAGAAGCCTGTTTTTTTATCTAAAATCGCAGTTTTCCTCGCATGAGGCCTAGAGCTCAAGTTAGCACGTCTGCTCAACTCCGATGTTCTATCATTATATATTTTGATATGGGACTAATTCTGGCTAAAGTCTTAATAAACAATACATTTTCCTTTACAGATTGCTTCACTTCATCCATTTTCAACTTATCCTGAAAATGAACGCCTTCATCTTTGCTCCCCGTCAATCATTGTTGCAAGTTCTGTCCTTTGCACCTCGCAGTCAGCATAGAGAAGAGGAAAATTATCTAAATTTATAAATGTAAACTATACATTGCACTAATAAAATGTTCAGTACATGTATAGATTAACCCCTTCACTACAGAGCACTATTTGACTAAAAAATATTACCGTAACTTTTATTTGAAGCAAGGGGTGCGTAGCTAGCATATGATAATATCAAAACACAACCATTTTGTGTATAGATTGCTTTCCAGACAAACATTAACAAAATTGTTTAAATGTGCACGAGTTTTATTTCTCAGTTATTTGTTCAGCCTTTATAACAATATTTGGTTAATGAAATGCTTTATACAGGATACAATATCCTTTATCTTGCTATATTTCACACTGGGTTTGAAAAGATAGTATAAAACAAAAAATTCTATTTTTCTCTGATTATAGGTATGTGTAAAAATCCTGAAGGTATTAATAGCCGTCCATACAGCTTATTAAAAATGAAAAAAGAATGTCTTCTTTTGAGGATATATCTTTCTTCATAAGTTAGTGGGTATTCTTATTTAGAGGACTGAATGTTTTTGTTATTCTACTTGTTTAATTTTTACGTAGTGCATACGTTTTATCTGTATTTTCAGTGCCTCTCTTAGCTTAAAGCAGCGTTAGAAACATAGAATGTGACGGCAGATAAGAACCATTCGGCCCATCTAGTCTGCCCAATTTTCTAAATACTTTCATTAGTCCCTGGCCATATCTTATAGTTAGGATAGCCTTGTGCCTATCCCACGCATGCTTAAACTACTTTACTGTATTAGCCTCTACCACTTCAGCTGGAAGGCTATTCCATGCATCCACTTCCATGCGTTTCCCAATAGTTATGCCTCTGTCCTAACCTTAATCTTAAACACCGCTCTGTCTATAAACATTCCCAATTCTTTTCTCTAACCCAACTAATCGTATCATTCTACAAATGCACATTAAAGTGCAGCATATTTTTATGATAGTTTTTCATTTGTGTAACTAATACAGGTTAACTCAACAGGATGTTAAATGTCATGTGACAAGATGTGTTCTTTGGCCCCATAAAAACAATCACATGGAACTACCTATTAACCTGCAGTGTGACAGACTGAGTAAAGATAGTTTGGCCCATATGTGTTACACGTGTATTCCGATTCTGATAAGTATTTATAGTTATAGCACACAAAAGTTAGCATTCAGAAAATGAATAAATCTAATTTGTGCTGTACAGAATCAGATTGGCAAAGACAGATTGGGTTTATGTTTCTAGGACATCTCGAGTGCTCTCTGTAATTCCGAAAATAAATATGAATTCTGAAATTCAGTAGAAACTCAGAAATGAAAAATAGTGGGAATCCTGGGATTCTCTTGTGGACCTTTGATCTGAAGATTTACTAAGACTTGGTTAGAATGTTAATTAGCTTTTTTTTTGTGCACCTAATTTTTCTCACAACAAATGGATTTATTCACTAAACACGGACAGGGTTGTTGACTAAAGTGAGAATTCAAAGTGAATTCACAGAGAATTTCAAATTTAAGACAATTTAAGAGCAGACAAACTGAAAGTATAGGCCCAGAGGAGGCGGGCTGAAAGCTAGCCGGATAGGAGGCATGTGTGGGTGTGGTGAGTGTAGGTGTCATAAGTGGGGGTGTCACTTAGGTTAGAGGTGGGGTGGGGTCATATAAAGAGCAGTCATTTTGTCCCCTTACCTCAGCCATCTTAGAAATAACGGCTGGTAACATCTTCCCTGTGCTGCCTGTTGCCACTGCTTGTTCCACGGCCAGGGCTATGGATATTGACTCTATCCTTGCTGCCCTCAGGGCTGAGGCCCTTCAAGATGGTGGCCGGCACCTGCAGTCCCAGATGGCACGGCTGCAGGGTGCTGCTGTGATGGCTGCTCCCTCTTCCAGCAGCCATGGTGCCCAGCGGCGTCGTGCGCGCCCCCCTACCCGCTATAGCCCCTCACGGGAGGGTCGGGTGAGGGGCAGGAGCAGGAGCCCGGTTGCTGGCCCGCATGCCTTGTCCCCTGCGGCCGCGGCCGGCGCTGATTCCCGCGCTCCTACCAACTGGTAGACGGCCGCACGACGGGCTGGTGCTGGCCGCGCTGCGCAAGACCTCCCTCCCCCTCCGGTCTCGAGGGCTGTGAGAAGGGCGGCCGAGAGAAACCAGGGCAGGGGCTCGCGGGTGGTGCTGCATTCACCAGCTACCCAGCCTGCGCGTGCAGATTCTCCGGCGATCCGGGGGCAGGTAACCCCCTCTTCAGGACGGGTAAGTAGGCCGCAGGTCGGCAGGGCTGTCTCCAGGGGGGTGGGGGGTTCAGGGGGCCGTGGTAGGGACCATGCATCGCCTAATTCTCCCATCAGCCCCCCCTGCTCTCCCTCCCCACTCTGTCTCCCCTGGGCCTATACTTACCACTGCTGCTCCTGGTATTACACCTGCAGTTGGTCCCTTAACGGATGGGATACATTTGGTGTCCCCTGGTCCTGCCCCTACCCTTTTCTCCCCTTCCTCAGCTGGCCCCCTCATGGCCGGGGCCCTTTCTGGACCACCTGGGCCTTCCCCTGCGGATCTATCTGCCCCATCTGCTGGGGCCCTTTCAGGATTCCCGGCCCCCCTTCACACTGGAATAATACTTACCTCTCCAGGTACTCCTGCAGGGGGATCCCATTCTGCCCCTCCTGGCCCTCCCCCTGCTGGTTTCCCATCCACTCCCCCAGGTGCCTTGACGGCCGGGGTGGGTGGGCTGGGTTCTTTTTCACCTATGCTATCTTCGCAGATTAACCCTGGTCGTCTCACGGTGCGGTTTCCTGATGCTGTGACTGGTGCAGTTCCTCCTGCGGTCGCAGTTCCCGTAGGGCCGTTGCAACCTGGTGGCCAGGTTATGGTGCCTCCAATCTCTGCCGGTGAGTATACTGGGTTGCCGGGGTCCGGGTCTGGGGGTATTGGTGCAGTGGGCATACCTGAGTAGGAGACTTTGTTACAAACTATGAGAAATGTATTGCATTCTCTGGAAAAGGGCCCTCGTCCGGGGGTTACTACCCCCTTGGCCCTGGACGATCAACTTCGGTCGGGTTGGGCAGTTAGTGGGGGTCAAACGGGGGTCACGTCGTCGCCCTCGGCTGCCCCTAAGGAGCCCAGTGTCCCTCAAGTTTCGCTTCCATCGGCAGCGGAACTTGAGTCCCCTGGGGGGTCTGTGGTGGAAGCCACCGCAGTCTCTGGGTCAGGGGTTGCGCCCGCTGCGCATGGGGCAGCCTACATGTGCTGGTCCGGCCCGCTGGGCCTCCATTTGACTCCTGAATTGCGATCCAAGGTAGACAAAGGGGAATTTGTGGAGATTTTTTCGCTCCTCCCTATGGAGGATCTGCCTCGGGTTGACTCAGATGCAAAGGAATCAGAAAAGGATAAGGAGAAGTTTAGGTATCGGAAGATACCAAAAACTTTTGGCAATTGGATCAGGGCTTTTTCCATCCTGGCTAGTGTAATAGGAGAAAAGACTCCTAGCAAATGCTCTTCCCTGTTTTGCTACCAGGATATGATATGTAATGCATGCCGGATCTATGGCGGGTTAGGCTGGTGGCGTTACGATGAGCAGTTCCTCCAACGCTTGGCAGTTCGCCCTTCCTTGGGTTGGGATCAGATGGATATTGGTCTATGGTTGACCATCATGACCCGCCCGGCATCGCATCAAGGGGGTCTCTCGTCCTTTCTCGGGGGGGCCGGCGCGGGGTCTTCATCCACAGCGTCGGCCAGTCAGCGTCGAACAGGCTGTTGCTGGCAGTATAATGACAGACAATGTAAATTCGGTTCCAGTTGCCGTTTCAAACACAAGTGTTCTGGGTGCGGTAGGTCACACCCTGCTTCCAGATGCTTTAAGCGGGGCAAGGTTAGCGACAAAGGTGAAGCCATGGGCACTAAGAGCGAAGACGCCGGTGGACGTCGACGCAACCGTGGCTAAACCTTTATAGGAATAAAAAGGCGGCCGCCTTATTATTGGAAGGTTTTAGTAATGGTTTTTGGATTCCCCACCAGGTTCGTTCGGCGTCCGGTACATGCAGGAATTTGCGCTCAATCGCTGATCACCCGGGGGTGGTCAGGCAAAAGTTGGCCAAGGAGGTAGCATTGGGCCACATGGCGGGCCCTTTCCGGGACCTACCTCTCCCTGATCTCAGGGTGTCTCCATTGGGAGTCGTACCCAAGAGAGAGCAAGGTAAATTTCGGCTCATTCATCACCTATCGCACCCCCAAGGGGGTTCGGTAAATGATGACATTGCGGCAGAACTGTGCCGAGTTTCATACGCCTCATTTGATGCCGCGGTTTGCATGGTCAGGGCTGCGGGTCCCGGGGCACTTATGGCTAAAACCGACATTGAGTCGGCTTTTCGCCTATTGCCGGTTCACCCGGAGTGTCATCATCTCCTAGGTTGTTATTTTGAAGGGCATTACTATGTGGATATGTGCCTCCCTATGGGTTGTGCTATATCCTGCTTTTATTTTGAATGTTTCAGCTCCTTTCTGGAATGGGTAGTGAGAACGGAGTCTGGTTACGACTCCCTTCTTCACTACTTAGACGATTTCCTGTGTGTTGGGCCCGCACATTCCCCGATATGCGCACACATTTTGCAATCGGTGGCGGATGTGGCCTGTGGGTTTGGGGTGCCACTGGCACCCGAGAAAACAGTTGGCCCTTCCTCATGCTTGTGCTTTCTTGGGATCGAAATCGATTCGGTTATCGGGGAATGTCGGCTCCCGTCGGACAAATTGGCCGATCTACGTGGGGTCTTACGAGAGGTGGGCTCCCTGCGTAAAATTACCTTGCAGCGACTCCAATCCCTTTTAGGCAAGCTGAACTTTGCCTGTCGGATCATGCCTATGGGCAGAGTGTTTAACCGCCGCCTGGCGGCCGCCACGGCTGGCATCTCCAAGTCGTTTCATTTCATCCGCTTGACCAAGGCGCTCAAGGAGGATTTGAGAGTCTGGGCTATTTTCCTTGACAATTACAATGGCAGGTCTTATTGGCAGCAGCCTGAGGTTTCCAATGAAGCACTTCACTTGTTTACAGATGCTGCGGGATCCTCTGGTTTTGGGGCAATTCTGGGGACACAATGGTGCGTGGAACCTTGGCCAGGGTCCTGGGTTGAGGCAGGCCTGACCAAGAATGGTGGTGGTTCACCTGTGGGGGTCGGAGCTCAGGGACCGGCGAGTCGTGTTCCACTGTGATAATTTGGGTGTGGTACAGGCCATTAATAACTTAACGGCCTCCTCCCCTCCGGTGGTCAGGCTCTTGAGGCGACTGGTTTTACGATGCTTGTCTCTGAATGTGACATGTCGCGCTATGCACATTCCGGGCATTATGAACACCACGGCTGACGCTCTTTCTCGCTTTCAATGGCAGGTGTTTCGAGCGGCCGCACCGGGAGCAGATGTGGAAGGCCTCTCCTGTCCCAGAGAACTATGGTCCCTTGGCCTGAGCGAATAAAGGAATGGATTCAGGCTTCGGTGTCTGAGGCGACATGGGTCCGGTATGGTAACGCTTGGGGGGATTGGGTCGCTCTGGAGCAGGATCTTGGAGGGTACGCTTCCCCGGCCGATAGAGTCCAAGGTTTGTTGCAGTTGCTCTGGTTCTGGGAGGCCTGCGGGTGTTCCCCAGCTACTGTTTCGGGGAAGCTTTCAGGCCTCAGTTTTTGGTTCAACCTAACTCAGGTGCCAGACGTTACAAAAGATTGCATGGTTAGGCTAGCGATGCGCGGTTGGCGTAGAGGCCCTTGTAAGCGTGATTCTCGGCGGCCGGTGTCAGGGGCCCTGCTGCTGGGGATCGCCTTGGTACTACCCCAAGTCTGTTATTCTGCCCCGGAAGCTTCTTTGTTTCTGGTCGCCTTCACGTTTGCCTTTTTTGGGGCCCTACGGATCGGTGAACTAGTGAGCCCAAGCCGGGCGACCCCGGGGGGGCTGTTATTCCACGATGTTTTCATCGTGAATGGTGCAGTGCGCTTTTTGTTGCGTCGGTCCAAGACTGACATTCTTGGGAGAGGTTTATGGGTTACTCTCCGCTCCATCCCTGATTCGGCTCTTTGCCCCATCTCGGCATGCCAGTCCTATTGCTCTATACGCTCGACTGTTGCGGGCCCGCTGTTAATTCACGGGGATGGTGCCTACTTGTCTCGTTTTCAGTTCCTCAGGGTATTCCGGTTGGCGCTGGACCGGCTGGGAATCCCGAGCGAGGATTTTGGGGGTCATTCCTTCAGGATTGGGTCTGCAACGGAAGCATCTCGGCTAGGTTTCTCTGACCAAGCTATTCAGAGGATTGGTAGGTGGGAGTCTGGGAGATTTTGGTCTTATGTACGTCCTACGCATCTGATAGGAGCCCCCCTTGTGTTTTCTCCGCAGGGACCGGCCGACGGATCTGGCTGATTGGGCATTTGCATATATATTGGGCCCACCAGCGGGCAGGGGTACGCCCGGGTGGGACCCGCCTTGGAATACCTCGGGAGCTGGCGGAGGTCCGATGGTTCGGTTTCCGGGGCATGCGATGGGGCCAGCTCTTGCCAGAGATCGTACAGCTGGCTACATTTCTGGGGGCCCCTGATGTATTGGTGGTACATCTGGGGGGCAATGATCTTGGGGCACTGCCTGTATGGGATCTTGGGGAATTGATTAGGCGTGACTTAGTGCGCTTGCGAGTCCTGTTCCCGCAGCTTTGCCTAGTTTGGTCAGGGATAGTGTCCAGGAATTATTGGAGAGATCAAGGGGCTATTGAGCGCTGCAGGGTAAAGATTAACAAAAGGGTGTCTAAATTTGTGCTCGGAGTCGGAGGTGTCACGATACGACACCGCATATTCGAGCGGGAGGCGGCGATTTATTTTCGCCCAGACGGGGTCCATCTGACTGATGTGGGGTTAGATCTATTTAATTTAGCGCTGCAAGATGCGCTGGAGCAGGCCATGGCGTTGGTGGGGAGTCGCGCCCGCTGATTTAGGCATAAATACAGCAAGCGCTAGTGGCGGGTATGGTCCTTGCCGAACCAGTTGGGAAAGGAGTACACTGGAAGAAGGAATGCTGGGTCTGGTCCCTCCCCTAACCTCGGAAAATATTTGGTAATTGGGCGTGCCCTCCGTGCCAGGAAAGGCGGCCAGGGGTTGGCATGGGGTATTGGAAGGCCAAGGTGAAGGCCAGTTATTTCGGACGAGGGGGGAGGGCAGGCCCCCAAAAGGGGGTACTCTAGAGTTGTTTGGTCCGGTTGGCAAGGACGAGTTTGAGTTAATTAAAGGGTAGTTAATATTGATATATTTATGCTTGTTATTTATAAATAAATAAAGCTGTGGCCTGTTTATACCACATTTATGTTTCTTTGTCTTAATTGGTGGAGGAAAGGGGGGGGGGGAGAGCGGGTTTGTGGGTATAACGGGTAGCACCACACAATAACCACTACCTGCACACAAGATGACTCAGAGGATGACTCAGAGACAGCCACACACACAGTTTGGAAATGTTGGCTTAAAATTGGAAATTCACTTTGAATTCTCCTTTATTGAATAACCCTGTGGAGAACCTGTAGTGAATTAAAAATCAAAATGAAATGTATAGGCTAAAATAGCCAAGATAAATTTTTAAAATCAGTTGTTTTTGCCTAAATTTTGCAGACCAGTTTTCACTATAATATAGTGTTTACCCTTAGGTATAATTTTAGTGTTTGCTGAGTTAGTGGGACTCTAAAGGCACCAAAACCACTACAGATTAATGTGGTGGCTCTAGTGTCTAGAGCAGAGGTCAGCAACCTATGGCACATGTGACATGCATGGCCCTCGAGGTGCCAGAGCCAAGTTGGCTGTGGCCTATCAAGAGTCCCAATGGGACTTTCGATATATACTTGTACAAACTTAGTGGTGATTGCAAGTGGTGAGAGACAATCCTCAGTTTACGTATTGCTGCACTTAGAATAAGTGATCTATGCACTGAAGTAGAGCAATCCGCAGCAGCTATCGCAGCACCTGCTCTAGACCCATACCTAGCCAGCACAGTTTCCACTGGACCCTGATAGATATACACTGAGCTGAAGAATAAGCCCACGTCTCATAGAAATAACACACACAGCCCACCCACAAAGACACACATTGCCCCACAAACAAAACACCTCTGACAATCCACATACACACAAACCCACAAGCAGACTCTCACATACACAGACACACACAGCACCAAACACACAATGTAATATATCATCCACACATACAATTTCACAAGCAGCTCCCATACACAGCCCACATTCATAAAATATAAAATATGACACTACAAAGCAACTGCAGCACCCATAAATAACATAATCAGAATACAGCAACATACACGCCTCATTTAAAAAAAATTGTACTGGCATGCCAAGGGACTTCAGAATTTTGTTTTGGCACAGTATAATATTTATCCTTATGAAATATCCTTATGAAATACTCAAAGAAACTGGGTAACATCATGTTTAACCCACTCCTGGGAGGAATATACTAATCATCCATTCAGTAAATTATTTTGAACTTGTTTGTCTGTATTATGTGCAGGTCTGGTTTACTTATTGTGCAGTAATACACCATGTGTTAATGATTTGTAAATAGAAACAACACTCCAGATGATCAAAGTACACAAAAAGGCACTGGAGGCCACTCATTTATTATGTGAAACTTACAATATCCATGTTGCAAACTCATTTGAGCAAGGTCCTCAACAGGGCCGGCCTTAGGCCTTTGGGCGCCCTGTGCGAAAAATCTTCACAGCGCCCCCCCCCTTCCCGTCCCCCCTTCCCACACACACAGGCAGGCAGCCACACGGAGACAGCCACACGCAGACAGCCACATGCAGACACAGACCTAGAAACATAGAATGTGACGGCAGATAAGAACCATTCAGCCCATCTAGTTGCCCAGACAGTCACACATAGGCAGTCACACACAGAGAGGCAGACAGCCACACACAAACACACACGCAGACAGCCACACACAAACACACAGGCAGACAGCCACACACAAACACATAGCCAGACAGCCACACACAGGCAGACAGCCAGACACAGACAGCCACACACAAACATACACGCAGACAGCCACACACAAACAGCCACACACAAACAGCCACACACAAACACACAGGCAGACAGCCACACACACACACACACACACAGGCAGACATAGAAACATAGAATGTGACGGCAGATAAGAACCATTCGGCCCATCTAGTCTGCCCAGACAGTCACACATAGGCAGTAACACACACACACAGGCAGGCACACACACACACACACACACACAGGCAGATAGTCTACACACAGACACAGTCATACACACACACAGGCAGACAGTCAAACACACAGACAGTCACACACACAGGCAGACAATCATATACACAGACAGTCACACACACAGGCAGACAATCATACACACAGGCAGACAGTCAAACACAGACAGTCACACACACAGGAAGACAGTCACACATAGAGACAGTCACACACACACACACAGGCAGTCAAACACACAGACAGTCACACACACACACACACACACAAAAGGGCAGACAGTCAAACACACAGTCACGCACACAGGCAGACAATCACACATAGTTACCTCTGTTCCTTGTGGAGGCAGACAGCCAGTGCAGCTCCTGGGTTCTGGTTGTTGGGGGGAAGCAGGGACTCCTTCCTGCTTCCCCTGCAGCAGTTACACGGCACTTTTAGCTCTGCCCCCGCCGCAGGTAAACCCCACCCCCTGCAATTTTATTTTATTTTGATCCTGGCCGGTCATGTGTGAGCTGTGTCGGCCGACGGCGCCCCCTGATTCATGGTGCCCTGTGCGGCCGCACACCTTGCACACCCCTAAGGCCGGCCCTGGTCCTCATCAACCTATTGTCCCTGTAACATTTTGTAATTATCCCCTTTATTGTTGAATTTTCCCCTTTATAATATTCTAAAACGTCACAGAATAAGTTGGCGCTATATAAATGCCAATAATAATTATAATAATATCACATTATCAATGTCAGTTTCATCCACAAGAATGGCGGTGATTGCCTGAGAGTGCTGGGGTAGGTTAGCCCAGTGCTCTCAAGCAATGCTTTCTAGGTTGGATGAAATTCACACTAAAGATGGTGAATTAAAATATCAGAGTAAGATACAGAGGAAATAAAGGAATCAGATTATCTTTATATAACAATTTAAAGGGACACAGACTAATAAATACAGTCCAAATCCAAAATAAATGAAAAACACTATTTAGTATATATACCCCAAATGGAAACTTGGACATGTTCAATTACGCATTTTGTCATTTGAGTTATATCTAAAAACAGTTTTCAGAAGCTGCAGATTTCTTGTCTGCAGCCTTTGCAAACCTTCCCGTTTTAACCACGCCCAGACTTTCTGTGGCTGTCCAATAAACAGACTTCCCAAAGCAAGGCAGGTGCACTGAGCAATTGCTGCCTCTTAAAGGGGAAACTATAGTGCCAGGAAAAAAAGACTTACTGATGATGACTAATGGTATTAACAGAAGACCACATGATACATCTAGTAATGTTACAAATCCCTATTTGTAACATAGTAAACCCTTTGCCAGTTCCAGAAAGTAACCAGGCTATTTGGGGCTATCAAGGGAGGCTGCTGGTCATGTGACTCTAGGTGGGCTGGCCATATGACTCTGCAGGGAGCCTTCTTGCAATGTAATGCTCTCTGTAGAACTCAGTGAGTGCTTGTAGCTTGGTACAGACACACACACACTGCAAGTTCTCCATACAGAGAGAACAGACACACAACAATGGGGCTCGGAGTGATCACATCTAAAACATTTCTGTGTCTTCTCAGCTTGATTTACTTGGTAAGTAAAGCCACTTGCTTTTTATATTAAGATTATTTATCTTCTCTTTCTGTATATTTTATTTTTAAATCAACCTGTAATTCAGCATAATACACGTTATTGTGGGAGATAATACAATCTCAGACATGCTCAGACCATAGAAGTGAGAAGAATTGTATTTAGCTCAGATTTTGTTTATTGGATAGGTAAGTAAGGTTTATATATATATAACAAAAAATACAAAATACGGATCTTGAAAAAGGCCCTATAGGATCCCTGAAATTTTGCATTTAAAATAAATTGAGCACTTGTTAAGACCTGAGAGTGCACCTTATCTGTATTTTATGTTATTAATATTGATGCTGAGGTTTGCACCCAGGCAAGAGTTTCAATACATTTGCATCAGAGGGTGAGTGCCAAGTTCACTATAATATATATATATATATATATATATATATATAAAATTTTATTTTTTTTAATCAGGCATTATTATTATTATTATTATTATTATTATTATTATTATTTTAATGCAAGGCAAATTCCGTTATAATTGTTTATGCTGTAAATGTATCCATGTTCCAGGGGAATTGTTGACCCACCATAACTGGCATATAGCCAACCAAAACACAGTCTATCTGGAAAGACCCCTCATACATGTTAGCCAATACCCTCTGAAAAGCCTTTTCCAATTCACCAGTCAGAGACCGGAATAGTGGGAGTAAAGGATCACGCTTTTATTCCAATAGAGGAGAAGTGGTCCAGACTGGTTCTGAGGGCAAACAGATTAAAATCTTGAATCGATACATGATATCAGTGATAATAAATAATACAGAAATGCAAGCAGGCTTGGCATACACTCTTTTTTTTTTTTGTGTGTGTTTATTTTACTAACAGGAAAGCAGACTCTACTAATTGGGAGGAGGATTATTCCTCACATTGGGAGTGGGACAATGCCATACACCTGCTGGCTTAGAAAACTTTGGTTACAAAATAATTATATTGCTGAGTGTACATTCTTCCCTATTAACCCTTCTATTACCAGACAGCAAGCTTATCCAATATATACGTTGCATTCTACTGATTTACATTTTAACGTTGAATAACTAGAAGTATGTATAACTGTATCTTATCATTAAGATATGAGCCACGCACATTACAGCCAACTTATTCCTGCCTTCGAATACGATTTTGTTTTTATTTGGATTCCAATCTTTCTATAAAACTGTTCTATCCCCTTTAGGACTGGCGGTGGTCTTTGCCAGCTAACAATCTATGTCCAAAATGAAAAATGAAATGTTCCGTTCATAATAAAAACATGGCAGTACCAAGAAAACCACACATCCGCACAGGCGTAGTCATAAATGAATTTGTTATGCTGCACTGCTACTATGGTGGAGCTTTATAATTAATGCACTAATTTAATGTAATAAGATGGAAAAGCCTTTTTTTTTTTTCTTTCTTATAGAGACAAAGTATGTGTTTTTGTGAACAGAAAATTTTACATAATGCAAACTAATTTCTGCTGTTTCCCCTTTTTATCTTCCTGAGTTTATTCAATAAATAATTATTTGCAAAGGAGATTGCATTGAGAATAAATGGCCCACCTGTAACTTTAGACAAGTTAAAGATTTACATTTTTTTTTTTTTTTCTGTTTGCTGGTGGTTGGCTCATAAACCCCATATATGTGAATAGTACGGTATTGCTGTCTGCATGAGCAGTTTCTGAGTAAATACAATTATAATCTCCTGCTATGTCCTGATCTTTCTTTTCTACAACTTAAATACCACCAATTGATTTTAGTTGGTGTTACATCAAGCCCCTTTTATACCAACTCTGTTCTCCTTTAATGTTTCTGTACGTGAGTAAAATCATGTTTTTAAATAAGACATCATTTTAAGTTTGTGTGTTTTTTTTTGTTTTTTTTTCTTAGTTCTGGATAAGACATGTTGACGTATACAAATAGCCTTTTTTAAATGTTTTGGAAGCATTTGAGAGACTGGTGTGTCTACTTGTTTGCAGGGCCATTTGAAGGAATTTGGGGGCCCCAAGCAAAATGGACATGGAGGCCCCTCTCCCCCCCCACCCTGCACGCACGCAAAGCCTACAAGAACCACAGCATAGCCATACAGTTTAAGTTCACCCACACTTTATATAAATAAAAAGGTTTACAGTGCAAATACTGCTGTTGCATAAATAAAAAATGTTTACAGTGCAAATACTCCTGTTGCATAAAATTTGAACATTTGCAAAAAACACCACTGTACCATAAAATCAAATATACATTAAAAAAGTGCACAATAACTAAATCCAACATACTTAAAACACATACTCTCACTAACAGACACACTCTCACTTTATTTTTTTATTGAACCCCCCAACCTCCTTACCTTTGGGAATGCTGTGGGGCTACTGATCGGGCGGCGCTGGCGAGGGAGCACTTTACCCTAAGCGCTCTGCTCAGCTCCCTCGCGCGCCGCAGAGTAATGCCGGGAGCTGAAATATGACGTCATTGTGAGCTAAGCAGAGCGATCAGGGGGAAAGTTCTCCCTCTCCAGCGCCACCCAACTGACCGGATTGTTAGATGCAAGGTTAACAAGACATTTGCCCTGGGCATTTGGGGGCGGCTTTTTTTGCCGCCCCCTGGAAAGTGCCGCCTAAGGCAAATGCCTTGTTTGCCTCGCGGCTAATACGTCCCTGGTCCTTGTCTTGGGGCCACAGGCCAGCTCGGGCCCTAAGCAATTGCTTGGTTTGCTTGCCTTGTTGCGACAGGCCTGCTTGTTTGGAAATATCTAAAGCTTTGCATTTTAATAGTGACTTACCTAGTTACAAACCTTGACGGTTAAATTTGCCTTTTTTTTTAAATGGGTTTAGTGGTCTGTATCTGTGTGTGTGGTTAGATGGGACAGTTTGTAACAGCAAGTGTCCCAAGCACTATGTGAAATCAAATATTTTAATTTCCAGAAAAATTGATCCACATTAAAACTGTCCCAAACAATAGCCCTTGTATAAGTAACTTAATTGAACTTAAAGGAACACTCCAACCACCATAACCACTTCAGCTCTCTGTATTGGTTATGTGATGTCCCATGTTAAATGTTCAAACAGTTTTAGTAGAGATTGACAACTTACCGTAGTGCTACTGGGCAACAGAGCCACCAAAAACTCTGCTTACGGTCTCCTTTTATAAGAATTTGGTTAGCTCTACAAATAGTGTAGAGAGTACCCTACTGCAAGTCTTGCTTCACATGGTGGCTGACAACTTAGTTTCTTTGTAAAAATCAATGCAGTTATAAGACTACTAACCCCTGAGTCTGATGTATAAAAAGCTGGGAATGTTAGTTTTCTGTATTCTTCCTGTATAAAACACAACACAAAGGCTATGCTCTGCTCCAGAAGATGTAACCCAGCTTTGTTTGACTGCTCTTATCCTATGTGATGCGTGGTACCGTGGCTATGGTATAAATTACATATTTAATATGACCAGTAAATGCAGCAGATGTTAGTACGTCATAAGTAAGTGTTCTATTTTATAAGTGGGGGGTTTTTGGGGGTTTTTTTTTGGGGGGGGGGAGGTTTGCCTCCTTTTTTTATTTTTTAATGCATTATCTATGTAATTCATTTCAACAATGGGAGTCATTTGTGACCTGCACTATTCTTTCAAACAAAAGATCCTTCTATATAACATTACTCGTGATGAGAGGAACATCTCAAGGAGACACTCCAGGTACTAGGCGAAATGCACTATGGATAGTTCCGTAAAAATGTATCCTCAGTGCCCCATTTGAATTGCATATTCTAGCAGTAATTTAGTGTACTTGCATTGATCTCCATTCCCTACAGAAATAACTCAGTACCGCTCTGGCAGGATGCCTAGAGGAAAGAACTGCTTTATCATGCTAAAGAAAAAAACCTTGAGAAATAGATGACGACTACATAACTGAGTTATGGGAATAAACACGTGATCCCTGTAGGGAAGTGATAAACATCCTTTACCGCAGCGGCTAGGAGTACTAGTTGGATAACGTGACCAACCCATCAGATCGTTACTACGCAAAGCTGTCTTCTGAATAAATATATACCAGTATTGTATGAGGAATGTTGGTTTTCTAGAACCAGATACACATAGAGCAAAGAGTTAAACATTCCATTCTACAGTTGGCCCCTCGGATATAGTTTTGTTGAGCTTATTTGCTTTTGCAGTGAAAGAATAAACCACAAACATGGATTCTTCATGTATATCTCTGTCTAATTGTGTTTTGGATTTTTTTTTATTGTAATTTTGTGATTTTAGATATGGTGAAAGAAGCAATGCCATTATGTGACTTTGTGTTGGTATTTATTCTATTTCTGCCATGTCACTACCCTTCACTCCCTCGGTAGTCGGTAAGATCTTAATGGAATGATCGCCCAGCAGAACCATTAGAGTTCTTGCAGTCCATCACTATTTGCAAATACTGCCTCTGTCTCAATCTCCCCTGTCCATACAGATGTAGAAGCATTTGCCAACAGTCCGAGATATATTTCACTGACAAAGCTGCTTAATATCCAATGTCCATGTCTATCGTCAACAAAGGTCCTTTGTTGACTCGTGTATTTCACTTGTCCCACTCTACAAAAGTTCTTCACGGTGTCCCATTTCCCACCAATGGAATGTTATAACTAGAAAATAGACAAGTGTAACCATTATCAAGGTCATTGTTGTCCTATTCCTGTATCTATTTTTTTTTTTTTTTTTTTTTTAGAAGCAACAGATCAATACAAGATGGTCTTCTTTTAGTGTTCATTTTGGTGGTTTCAATTAAGCAAAAAAGTTGCTATCTTTGTAGGTGTGGTTCAGTGGTGTGAGTACTTGATGTGATCTCGTCTGCTGATCTATATTTAGGGAAGTTGTCAGTAATGCAGAATCTCAGCATGTGATTTCGCCTGACAACAATATAAGGAAGGAACTCAAAACAGTAGCCATTCATATGGTCAACACATGGTTAGAAGGAATTTGTGAGTCAGGGTAAAATCTTACATCCTCAGCTTGAAGGTGTGGTAAATGTCAGGAATGATGGAGATATTATGCCCTTGATAATTCTTTCTGAGTGCTGATATAGGGCAAAAAGGTCTGGGGAGCCACAGTGGTACCAAAAGGCAAACATGCATTGGTAGCTGGTTCATTTGTGCTTTACCATAACTTACCATCATACAGTGTTATTATGACCGACAGAATGGTGTGGATTGTGTTGGAGGTTTCCTATGACCTTTGCCAAGTTTATATTTGTATATTACCCAAGGGCTTTACAAATTTGCTTGGAATTTTCGCCTTTTCAGAGGTGAGTAGAAACACCTTTCCTGTGTGATTGGAGGGGGGAGGGGGGAGGGGGGGGGGCAAGCCACTCACTGATACTCTCACGCCTATGGCTGGACGGACGGACGGACGGACTCTCTCGCTTATGGCCGATGGACACACATACTGATATACAAGGTGCTCCTTTCATTAATCGGAAAGGGAACCTAATCCTAAATATATAATTATTCATTTCACTTCCTCAAACTAAATGAACTAATTTAGGATTTGTAGACCTGAGTTCTCTGTAGTGCTGATGATGCGTTCCAGACACCATGAATGTCTAACTGGTAACCCTTCAGTTTTTTTACTTTTATTTTCAGCTTTCAATCAAGAGGTTGGGGTTGATAAAGATGTGTGTGTGTGTGTGTATGTATTTGGATACTAACAGATCAGACTTTGTCCTGCTTTTCTGCTCAATTTGTTAAAGCTACTCTGTCTTGTATGTGTAAAATAATGCTGTGTGAGTAACACGTGCATGAATACATTGAGAAGTGTTTACCTCAATGTATCCACCGCATTGCACTTGTTGAAGACCGGAAATGCATATGGCAGCCACTACTTCTCTTTTTCAGTCTCTACATCTCCCTTACTGTCTTGACCAAGTTTTGAAATGACGAATACATGGTTTTTCCATGATTCTCAGGTTTGTGGTTGTTTTTGGGTTCCTCACGGATAGTACTATTTATTTATTTTAAAGCAAAGGATGTGGAGAGGTCTGCTCAAGCAAGCTTACCATGAGTATGTTCCCTCTGGGATAGAAGCTTGATACTTACTGGATAAACCTTGTGCTATATGCGATTATATCTGATTTAATTGTCCTATATGATCACAACTTTAAAGATATTCTATTGAGAAGTTGTTTTTATTTTGAATCCAAAAACATTCTATTATTATTGTCATTTATATAGCGCCAACAGATTCCGCAGCGCTTTACAATATTACAAGTGGGGGGATTTAACTATAAATAGGACAATTACAAAAAACCTTACAGGAATGCTAGTTTGTAGAGGACCCTGCTCAAATGAGCTTACAGTCTATAGGAAGTGGGGTATAAAACACATTAGGACAGGAATAGCAATCAAATAAGGTGGGAGTGAGGCAGAGCTGGAGGAGAGAGTAGAGTGCTGCCCTTTAAGAGAGAGCAAGAGACAGGTATGTAAGGTAGAGGTTACTCTAGTCTATTTAGCTGTAATTACTCTCATTTCTTCCTTTGTAATTTCATTTTAAAGGTGGAGGTGGCATGTTTGTAGTGTACCTATGTGCTAATGCTAGTTTCTATTCGAATATAAAAAATCTTTGTCATTTACCTACCTGTGATGTTTTGCTAAGTGATTATGCCCTGACTGTTAGAGAAAAAGTTTATTTTATTCTGTCTATAATGTAAAGTATTTTAACTTTATTTTTATTTTTTTCATCCCAGGCTTCCGCATCAGGACTGTTCTACGTTGCGTTGAAAGTTATCCTGACCTACAGACAATATGCCGAATTCCTTGGGAACTACTATGTAACTCTTCCAGCTGTTGTCATCCTATTTATCGCTGTTATCATGCTCATCATTGGCTTCCTCGGCTGTTTCGCTATAGTTCAGGAATCCAGCTTCGGATTGGGATGTGTAAGTTTACAGTGTTTAATGTGGTTGGAATTTTAATTCTTTAGTCCTTTAAAGGACCACTATAGTGCCAGGAAAACACTAATTTTCCTGGCACTATAGGGTCTTTAGGTCCCGTCCCCCCCCCCCCACCCTCAGGGTCCCACTCCTGCTGGGCTGAAAGGGTTAAACACTTACCTTTTTCCAGTGCCGGGCTCCCTCGGCGCTGGGGAACACTCCTTTCTCTGCCGATGTCAGCACCGTGCACATTCAAACCGTCCATAGGAAAGCATTTCTCATTGAGCTGAAGTGGTCTGGGTGCCTATAGTGGTACTTTAAAGGGACTCTCCAGTGCCAGGAAAACAATCAGTTTTCCTGGCACTGCAGGTCCCCTCTCCCTCCCACCTCCCATCCCCGGTTGCTGAAGGGGTGAAAACCCCTTCAGTGACTTACCAGAGGCAGCAACATGTCCCATGTCACTGCTTCTTCCTCCGCTAACGCTCCTCCCCTTCATCACGTCAGCCGGCGGGGGAGACCTAATGCGCGGCAATGCCGCGCAGGCGCATTAGACCTCTCCATAGGAAAGCATTGAAAATGCTTTTCAATGCTTTCCTATGGGGATTTTAGCGATGCTGGAGGTCCACACACAGCGTGAGGATGTCCAGCGACGCTATAGACCAGGAAGTTCCCTCTATTGGCTGTCTAGTAGACAGCCACTAGAGGAGGAGTTAACCCTGCAAGGTAAATATTGCAGTTTATGAAAACTGCAATAATTACACTTGCAGGGTTAAGGGTAGTGGGAGTTGGCACCCAGACCACTCCAATGGGCAGAAGTGGTCTGGGTGCCTGGAGTGTCCCTTTAATAAAAGTTTACAATTGCGTATGTATGTGTGTTTTTATAATTGATGCCATTTATCCTGAATCACGTTGTGGGTTTCTATATACCGCCTGTAGCAATGAATGGAGATCCGATCTTGATGTTAAAACAGCTACTTGTCATATAGTCACTCTAGCTGTAATTGTGTAATGTACAGTGAGTCCAACTGCTTTGTACAAAGTTATATATCTAAAACAGTGAATTCTAATTTTCTTTTTTTTTTTTTTTTTTTATAGTCTGCCTACTCTGCTCTTATTTAAAGCTCAAATTTTTACATTCTGTGTAACCCTCTTTACTGTTATTTGTGGAGTACTATATATGTATATTAATATCAAAATACAGTTAGAACAAATTTAAACCAGTATATAATTTTTTTGACATTTTATATTTTATTTGTTTTATTTACATATAATATATATGCACACACTTTCACACGCACTTGGATTTTCCAATAGTGTATTATAAAGTATTCATCAATCTACATGAACGTTTTGACCCTTCAGGGTCTTTATCAAGAGGGGTCGAAACGTTGCTTTAGATTGATGAATACTTTATAATACACTATTGGAAAATGCAAGTGAGTGCTCCTGTCTGAATTTGTTTATCTATTGGCCTGGAGGCATCCGGGGAATATAATTTTTGATCTCTTATTTTGGGTCGAGTGCCAGAATCTGGACATTTATTTATTAATTTATTTATAAAAATACACTTTTTAATAGTTTATGTGCATGTAAAAGTACTTGGAATATATATTATGTATGTGATCAAAGTACTTTTTATGTACTATATAAACTTTTTTTTATTTTATTTTTGGCACTAGGGGGACTGCCTGAGAACTTAGGCAGGCACTGCACAAGCTGGCTATTCTGGCCATGTGATCGCGATGACCTCTCGATCACATCACCCGAGAGGGCCGGTTCAGGCAGTGGGGGTCTCCCTGAGCTCCCACACTGGCCAATCAGCATCTCCTCCTAGAGATGCATTGAGTCCATACATCTCTATGGGAAAAGTTCAGCGTCTCCACTCTCTGTAGTTTTTATATTAAAATGGCACACATGGACTGACTATGTTTGCCAGCACAACTACATTAAGCTGTTATGCTTTCCAAAACTGTGAAAATATTTATTTACACACACACACACGTGTTTATAATAAATGGGAATTTATGTATGTCACATCAAATTTAACTCCCTTTTTGTCATTTAAAAACAAAACAAAAAAACTGTATATAATATGTATAAAATGTGTTGGTACAATAAATGAGATCGAAATTGTTGTTGGGGCGCGCTCACACACAGCGCAAAAATTACCTGTATCCTTATGCATAAAACAAGCAAACTGGAGCTGTGCCAATATCTCATTATACAGAAATATAAAGCTATAGCTCTAAAAACCTTGTGAAAGGGGCACTGTTATCCCCAAGTAATGCTTCTTGTAACTATATGTGTTATCTACACATTGATTCAGTAAATCTATATTTTTAAGAGTACATTAAAGATTCGCGTTAACTGGCACTGTATTGCAGTGAATAAATGCAACAGGTTTTATGTCACGTCTCAATGTGTAAGTGACAAATGGCTGCTCACAGAGGTGGTGCCTGGCAAGTTGGCCCTTGTTTTACCAACAGCAACACAAAGTGAGGCAGCCTTACATTTACTCATATATTTGGAAGGAAGAAAGCTAGATCCCACTTTCTGTTTGCCCCTGTCCTAGCCTATGGATGCTATGAGGACACTGACCCTCCCAGCATCCCCCCCCACTGGATCTACAAAGTTCTATTCTTCTCATACCATATGCACTCAAGCACTGTTAAAATTGTTTGACAGATTTAGTTTTTAATGCGAAGGTTTTTTTAAACAGGACTTGCTTTAAATTAGAATACCAATGCTTCATGCTGATACATAACCGTATTTTCATCATTTTATTTCCTCTTTTTCAGTTTATGTTCTTGACCTCCATCATATTTGCTGCTGGAATAACTGGCCTTGTTTTAGGGCTTATCTACAAGGATAAAGTAAGTGCGTGTGTGTTAATCTCCAGCATTGTATACTATGGCATAACTGTTAACATGGGCATCTGGGGAATAATTGTAATGACATCCATGCTTGGTCCCTTCTTTTTGACAGTGTCATGAAGGGGAGGAGCAGTCATTATCACATAAAGCAAGGGTGAATCGCGTTTTCACAACCATGGTGTCAGGAATACATGTTTGTATTCCTAACACTATAGTGTTCTTTTAAGCAAATGAAAGGAACATTCTGGTCACCATAACAACTTCATCTAAATGAAAATGCTATGATGCCAGGAAGCCCCTGGGTGCTCTATTTACTTTAAGGGGTTAAACCGCTCTCAGATGGTTTAACCCCAAAGGCTTCCTCCAGTTCCAGATCTCCAGGTCGCTCAGTGGTGTTCAGCTTCTAAAACGGAGTGTCAGGAAGTACAGATTTACGTCAGGCATGGGTGCTGCAGATTGGCTAGAGTGGTCTATTGACGCTCTAAGCCAATCGCTAGTTCCTGGTTCATAAAAATGTTTTTTGCCTTTTTATGAATGGGGAGCTATTGATTGGCTTAGAGTGCCAGCTGACCGCTCTAGCCAATCAGTGACACCCCTACCCAGCGACACTCTGTGCTTCCTGACACTCAGTAAATAAAAGTGAACACATTAAAAGATATATAATTTTATTAATTTTTTTTTAATTTTTTTTTTCTGGTGAGATGAGAAGGTCCAAAGGTTCCCTGCCAGACACAGGTTACCAAAGCCTTATGATGTGGTGTCCAGAATAAAGTGGAGGGCTCACTTCACTTGTCCTTCCTGCTCCAATCTCCTTTTCTTCTGCTTCATTTGACACAGTCTTCTTTTTCTTCTGACACAGTCTTCTCTCCTCCTTGGCTCCTTCTGCTACTTTCTGCTTATTGTGCTACTTTCTCTTTCTGATCCTTTTCTGCTCCTTCTCCTACTTTACGTTTGTGCTCCTTCTGCCCCTTCCAGCTCATTGCTGACTCTTCCTGCTCATTTCTGTTCCTTCTCCTATTTTACCTTTCCAGCTCCTTGCTGACCCTTCTCCTACTTTACCTTTTGTGCTCTTCCTGCCCCTTCCTTCTCCCTTTCTGCCCCTTCTCTTACTTTACCTTCCTGCTCCTTGCTGACCCTTCCTGTAGGATGCCTCCCCCCAATCCCTCACTTACCTGATCTGTAGGTGGACCCTCCCATCTCTCACTTACTTGATCTATAGGCTCTCTCTGCCGAGCCCCATCCTTCACTTACCTGATCTGTAGGCTATCTCTGTGCCCCACCCCACCCTCCCATCCTTCACTTACCCGATCTGCTGCATGTGCTGCTCCCCAGCAGATTCAGTCAGGAGAGAGAAGCAGGGATAAGATGTAACTTCCTATCCCTGTCTCTCTCCATACACAGTGCCACCTACTGGCCGGCGCCAGTATTGCACTGTATTTTCACTCTCACATGAAAAATAGCAGAATAAGCTGAAAAATACTTGCCCCTCCCCTGTGGACGCTCTTGACTGTTGAGTACCACTGTCCTTTTAGAAATCAATAGAGCTACAGTATAAATTTCAAAGGACTAATATCATACATTCAAAGAAACTATATCTTGTTTTCTCTTTTTTACATACATAACTGTTTCTCACTCTTTTCTTTTTTTTTTTTTTTTTCTGTCATATGGTGGCAGTAACTTCTGGGTTTTGCTCCTCCCTGTGGACATGACATCTTAACAAGTAATATTAGATCAAAAGACCCTCCCCTTTTCAATATAAAATGCCGCACCACAAAACATACCCAAGGTTCCTTTCTTGTCCCGATAGGGAAGGACAGGACATCCATAGGTGAGACACACGGGTTGTCTGTCTGGGGGACCCGGTCTGAGAGCTGCCCAGGCGGTATGCTGAGACCCGTGCTCCTCAATCGTTACTGAGCAAGTGGAGGTTAGCCTTCTTATGCCGAGAAGGGTTCCAGCAAAAGGTTTCCTGGAGGCGGAGCTCGTTTCTGAGCAGGCGCACAGCGTTGGAACGCACGCCAGGGTGGTGTTGCGTTCCACCTAAGCTTCCGGGTGCGCTAAAACGCATGCTCAAACCAAAAGTTTAAAGGTACATACAAAAAAAAGCAGCGAAAAATTTTAAATCTGGTGAATAAAAGAGCTGTGCAGTACCCACTGACTGCATGGATGCAGGTCAGAAGAGGTACGCCATGTCACCTGCCCCCCACACGGCTCAGAGGTATTTTGAGGTAAGATTAAAATAAATCTTTACTTTTAAATATTCTCTGGAAAATTTATAGGAATTTTCAATCAATCTAAAAGCCTCCATTTATATATTCTCCACAGATATGTCTAGCCCAGCTTATCCTGAGATGGACAAGGAAAAACTGGCTACTTTCATGCCTAGAAAGGCTACGGTAAAATCTAAACATCTAGTTTGCAGTGAATGTGCAACTCCTCTTCCAGACTGATACAGTGGAAAGAGATAAGCAAAAAGATATGCAATCTTTCCTAACCTGGTTCCAAGAAAATCTGGCCCAGACCTTGGAGACTATTAAAGAGTCTAAAAAGGTGGACAAAGGATCAAGAAAAGATAATCGTCTACATCTGAAACATCATCCGGGGAATATATTTCCTCAATAGATTCAGATGAGTCAGGATCCTCATCAAGTGAACCAGTGGGGTTTCCTTCGGAGGAAATCCGAAAATTCATAAAGGAAGTTAACCTAACAATCCTACCTCAGGGATCTGAGAATCCTAAAAAGGTTTTTCTGTTTTACAAAGCCTGGTTGATCTAATTTTTAGGGAATGGAGAAACCCTGAAAAATGTGCCTTTATTTCCAGACACTTCAAGGATATCTTCAGACTGGCTGGTAAAGTTAATTGGGAAGATCTCCCAAAAGTAGATGTTCAGGTGGCGCAGATTGCTTAAAAAAAACACTATCCCTATAGGGGAAACTTCAGCTTTAAAGAATCCAATGGATAAAAGAGCCAAAACCTCTTGTAGGCGAGCTTACCAGACAGTCGGTTTTCAATGCAGGGCTTTACTGGCAGGAGCAGTGGTTGCCAGAGCAAATGGTATTTGGCTGAATGTGGTACAAGATATTTTATCTTCTGACCAGGTTAAAGAACTTAACCACATGTTTCAGAACATGCACTTGGCAAACGAATACCTTTTGGATATGTCGGTAGAAGTTCTTAAATTGGCATCCAGAATTATGGGATTGTCTTCGGTAGCAAGACAAGCTTTATGGTTAAGGTCTTGGACGGCGGATTCAGCTTCCAAATCGGTCCTTTATGAGCTTCCACTAGAAAAAACAAAATTATTTGGGGCTCCTTTAGAAGAAATCATTAGGCAAATGTCAGAAACCAAGAAGGCGCTTCCTCAGGATAAGAAGTTCTCCTGGAGATCAGGTTACAGGAATTACCAGTATAAATATAGGAGATCTTCTCAAGAGAGACCGCATTTCTTTCAAAGAAGGGATAAAAATCGGAGATTCGAACAAAGAGGTGACGTTAAAAGAACCTTCAGAGATAAAGAGACGTTTCTGACGCCATAAGTGTGGGAGGAAGGCTCCAACATTTTTTTTCCAATACGGGAAAAGACCACAAGAAATCCTTGGTTTCTAAGTCTTATCAAACAGGGACACAAGATTATATTTACAGAGGATCCAAGAGCAAAGCTTCTGGTATCCACCTACCAGTCTTCAAAGAGATCACAAGCCCTATATTGTCAAACCATGCATCTGTTACAAAAAAGGGTGATAGAAAGAGTACCAGTAAAACAAACATTTCGGGGAGTCTATTCAAGATTATTTCTGGTTCCAAAACAAAACCACTCTTATCGTCCCATTCTGGATTTAAAGAACATAAACTGGTTTATCTCTTATCAAAGATTTCGTATGGAGTCAATCGCATCTATTTGTCCTCTATTACAAAGAGGCGACTTTATGGTAAAAATAGACTTGAAGGATGCTTATCTGCATGTTCCGATTGCTACCACTTCAAGAAAATTTTCTAAGATTTGCAATTAAAAAAAGGAAGATCCACCGTTCATTTCCAGTTCAGGGTTCTGCCGTTTGGTCTGACTTCCGCCCCAAGGATATTTGCAAAGATCCTAACTCCTCTTACAGCTCATTTGAGGGAATTGGGAATATCGATTATCCCTTATTTGGACGACTGGCTTCTCATGGCTAGACGCTTTATCAATAGAGTGGAACTTCCGCCTGGCTTATGTCTTTCCACCTCTGCCTTTAATCCCAAAGGTCCTTCTCAAGATACGAACAGACAGAGTGAGAGTTTTAGCAATAATCCCATATTGGCCAAACAGAGTCTAGTTTTCGGCTGTAAAGAAGATGGCCATTGATCATTGGGAACTTCCCAGATCAAACTTCCTCATTGTGAACAGGGACCTGCCCTTGAAAGTTCTAGAAATTTTCAGGTTGACGGCTTGGCTACTGCGAGGCTAATCCTTCAAAACCAAGGTTTACGAGAAGACAGAATAGCGGTCTTACGCCACTCTACTAGAAAATCTACATCTAAGATATACTTTAGGATTTGGTCTAAGTTTCTTCACTGGTGTAAGGAACACCAGTGCCTGGTTTTACATACATCTATAGAGAACATTCTCCATTTTTTATAAGACTAGTTTGCAGCTGGTCTGGGAGTCTCCACGCTCAAAGTTCGAATATCAGCCTTTAGTTTTTTTTTCTAATTAAGGATTTGGCCTCCAATGTTTTCATCAGAAGATTTTTCAGGTCCATCAGCCTCAAACGACTGCCTAGGCGATCGGTGTTTCCAAATTGGGATTTAGCCCTAGTCCTACAAGCTCTTAGTGTTCATCCCTTTGAACCTTTGGAGGAAGTTCCATTAAAGATTTTGTTTCTTAAAGTTTTATTTATGATAGCCATCACGTTGGCTAAAAGAGTGGGAGAACTTCACCATTTTTCACAAAGACAAGGTTGTTCTTTATCCAAGACCATCTTTTCTTCTTTGTCCTCAAAGAATGTTAATCAGCCTTCGTTTTATAGCGATGCTTCATCTCCTCAAGAGCTCAAATGGCAGAAATTGGACCTCAGAAGTGCGTTATTTGTATATCTAGCCAGAACGAAAGAATTCAGAAATTCGGATCATCTATTTATTAATTTTCATCGGCACCTCAAGGGGAAGGTAGCTTCCCGCGGTACCTTGTCCCGTTGGCTCATTCAGGCTATAGAATTGGCGTATTCTACGGCAGATCTTCAGTCTCCAGCTTCACTTAAGGCCCATTCTACCCGAGCAATGGCTACCTCATGGGCAGAAAAAGCACTTGCATCTCCAGAGGTCATCTGCAAAGCAGCATGCTGGTCATCTTTTAACACTTTTATCAAGCACTATCAGCTAGACATATTCTCTGCCTCTGAAGCAACCTTTGGGTGTAAGGTGTTACAAGCTGTGGTGGCCTAAGTCCCGCCCAGATGGGGATCTTGCTATATCCCAGAAGTTACTGCCACCATATGACAGAAAAAACAGAAATTTTTACTTACCGTAAATTCTTTTTTTCTTAATATGGTGGCAGTACTGCTTCCCTCCCTTTTATTTTTAAATAATTTTTGCAGTATATGTCTGTGTTTTCTTTCTTGTCACGTACTGGGGTAGATTTGTGGTGCGGCATTTTATAGGGAAAAGGGGAGGGTCTTTTGATCTAATATTACTTGTTAAGATGTCTTGTCCACAGGGAGGAGCAAAACCCAGAAGTTACTGCCACCATATTAAGAAAAAAAGCATTTACGGTAAGTAAAAATTTCTGTTTTTTTTACTCTGTGTGTGTGTTGTAATTTGTGCTGCTTGACCAAGTGTGATTTGTTTGAATGTGGTTAATTAAAAAAGGAAAATTTGTTATTTTATCTCCAGGTTCACATTCAGGTGACATCTTTTTCAAAATTGCTGATGATGCACACAAAAAGGCTTATTTCATGTCATACCATGTGTGGAACTATTGCTTTAGAATCAGATATGCAATATTTTTATTTCATGTGCTACCTACACAATACCTCCTCTGTTCTGACTTTACAAAACTCCCTTAAAGGGACACTATAGTCACCAGAAAAAAGTTGTTCTGGTGAGTATAATCAGTGCCTTCAGGCATTTTCATGCAAACACTGCCTTTTCAGAGTGTTTGTATGAAAATGTGTCCTAGGGACACCTCCAAGTGGGCACTCCTCAGATGGCCACTGGAGGTTCTTCCTGGCTCAGTGCTGCACAGTAGGCAGCAGTGCTGTTCAGTGTCTCCACGCTGTGCATGGGGACACTGCATTTTCCTCAGATGGGGTGGGGCCAGCGCCGGCAGACCCGCGCAACGCTGGAAATAAGCTGAGTTGTTTGTGTTTTTTTAAAAAAAAAAATTTTTATTAACTTTTAAAGGGGCTAAGGGGGGCCAACCACCTAAATCATGGGTATTGCACTATAGGGTCAGGAATACATATTTGTGTTCCTGACCCTATAGTGTTCCTTTAAATTACCATTTGTCAGTGAGCTGTTTTGATGACAGATGATTGCACAGTGTGTGGTGAAATCCCTGAACCAAATATATATTATTATTATTATTATTATTATTATTATTATTATTATTATTATTATTATTAATAGGAATTGTACAGCACCAACTTATTCTGCAGCATGTCACAATGTTAAAAAGGGGATTTAACCACAAATGAGACAACTACAAATGTTGTTAGGTAGAATAGGTTGAAGAGGACACTGTTTCAAGGACCTTACAATCTAGAGGAGGTAGGGGTAAAAATAAATAAATAAATAAATATGAAGGATCATGCGTATTTTCAATATCTGGGTTATTTTCTCATCTGAGTATAGTGAATATTCTGCATTTATGAAACTAAAGATTTAAAGCTTTGACCAAAATATGAATTTGCTGATTCTGGAGCAGCACAGGTTTCTTCCAATGCTTCATCACTGTTAATATTGATTAGTTAAGTGTTATATTCTCAAGTCTTGATTGGGACTTCTACAGTAGTGACTTGCATTCCACGTTGCTCTCTCTGTGAGTTTGACTTTAGATTGCTCTTTACGCGAACGTTCTTTTACCTGCCATTATGGACCCTTAAAATAAATTGTTGTCCAGAAAGTAGCCAGGAAAACCCAATAAACAAATATATTTAGTTGTTTTGCAACCTCAAGAATGAGTTAATCATGTCTGTCTGCATTTCTTTTTCCATTTTTAGATAGACCCAGAACTGGACGAGAACATGAACAAGCTTTTCCAGGAATACGATGGAAAAAGTCCACAGAGCTCGGCAGTCGATTTTCTGCAAGAACAGGTATTGGAACATTGTTAGGGGAAATGTTTAAAATATGGCAAATTAAAAAAAAAAATGTGTGTATTTGTTATAAAGTGAATATCATGAGTTCGGGTATGTATGTCTTAATTAGTTTGCCTAGGATGTTGGCACATTTTATAGTCTAAATACATAAAAATACATAAAAATACACAAATAGACATGCTGTTTTTACCATATATGCATTAGAGACACTCTAAGCACCAAATGCACTGTGTGTTACTACAGTTTGACAAATGTAAGTATTGCCCATTACATTTGTCTGTCAATATGCCTCTAGTGACTGTCAGTCAGATGGCCTCTGGTGATACTGTGTTGAAAATCTTCAGTAATTTTAAAATCTTTACAATTGGCATTATCAGATCTTCGCATAATGATATCAAATGTTCTGAGATTCATTGGATTGGCCCAAGATGATCATCATTGATAATCTCACAGCAGGTGGAGTGACTGCGATGTCAAAAGCAGGGTGATGCTGGACAAAGGTGTTTGTGACGGACCGCCTGGCACCCCGACCGGGTACCTCCGTCAATTGCTGCTTCCTAGTACTTGCAAGCACCATAAGCACCGCACTAGAACACCAGTGTAACAGAACGCCTGCCACCCAGACTGGGTGCCTCTGTCAAAAGATGCTGCTGGTGCTCGCCAAGGACCATCAGCACCGCACTTGACACCACAACCACCACAAACCCCACTTGCCGTCGTAGCTTGGTTGGGGTTTCGCCATTCTCCACCCACCCTGGACACAAGACCGGGCTCCAGCTCAGTGGATGAACCTCCCCTCCCCCCATGCCTCACTTAACAGATCTGTAGGCTCTCTCTGCCCCCTCATGCCTCACTTACCTGATCTGTAGGCTTTCTGCCCCCCCATGCCTCACTTACCTGACCTGTAGGCTCTCTCTGCCCCCTCATGCCTCACTTACCTGATCTGTAGGCTCTCTCTGCCCCCATGCCTCACTTACCTGATCTGTAGGCTCTCTCTGCCCCCATGCCTCACTTACCTGATCTGAGGGATCTCTCTCTGCCCCCATGCCTCACTTACCTGATCTGTAGGCTCTCTCTGCCCCATGCCTCACTTACCTGATCTGTGCTCTCTCTGCCCCATGCCTCACTTACCTGATCTGTAGGCTCTCTGCCCCCCCATGCCTCACTTACCTGATCTGTAGGCTCTCTCTGCCCCCATGCCTCACTTTACCTGATCTGTAGGCTCTCTGCCCCCATGCCTCCCCTGATCTGTAGGCTCTTTCTGCCTCCCATGCTGTAGGCTCTCTGCCCCCAGGCCTCACTTACCTGATCTGTAGGCTCTTTCTGCCCTCCCCCATGCCTCACTTACCTGATCTGTAGGCTCTCCCTCCCCCATGCCTCACTTACCTGATCTGTAGGCTCTTTCTGCCCCCCCCCATGCCTCACTTACCTGATCTGTAGGCTCTTTCTGCCCCATGCCTCACTTCATCTGTAGGCTCTCTGCCCCCATGCCTCACTTCATCTGTAGGCTCTCTCTGCCCCAGGCCTCACTTCATCTGTAGGCTCTCTCTGTCCCCAGGCCTCACCTGATCTAGGCTCTCTCTGCCCCCCATGCCTCACTTACCTGATCTGTAGGCTCTCTCTGCCTCTCATGCCTCACTTACCTGATCTGTAGGCTGTCTCTTCCTCTTCCACCCCCCCAATGCCTCACTTACCGGATCTCTGTCAAAAGATGCTCCTAGTGCTCGCCAAGGACCATCAGCACCACAGCCACTGCAAACCCCACTTGCCGCTGTAGCTTGGTTGGGGTTACGCCGTCCTCCACCCACCCTGGACCCAAGACCGGACTCCAGCTTCCAGTGGGTGAACTTCTCCTAAGTCCAGAGAGCAGGAACAAGAACAATCTCTTAGAAGAGCTTACTCTGGAGAGTATTGTGATATAGCAATCCCCCGAGTGTAGGCAATTCTCCAATCCCCCAAACATGAGCCGAGGCTTCATGAAGGTACAAGATGATCTGTTTAAGAAGCACCAAAGGACTTTCTTTTAAGCAAGATTTTCCACAAGGTTACCACTCACATGGTCTTGTGGAAGAGCCAATCAACAACGTACAATACAGTTAAACACTCCCCTTCATTCCAGTAAAATCCTCTCCTCTGCCTGTGACAGACTTACTGTACACAGTTTTTATACAATTCTTATAACTTTAAAAGTATACATGCAATATTAATAAGTGACCTATTCTAACTCCGCATACTCCATATACAAACCTATCCAAAAATCATACCATTTAGTCCAGTGGTTCAAAAGTTAGGTGGAAGTCCTATTTGGCCGACCGCAAGCATGGCTTTCCTGCCCGAAAGAGTTCCATAGATTTGGGCTGTGCAGTCAGTCTATTTTACACACACACACAAAAACTACTTAGTCCCATTCAAATGCACAAACAGGGCGCCGTTCGAATAGTCGAACGCACTTCGATTTCAGTCGAAGTGGAAAATAAGGTAAGGGTCAGCGGTATTCGTGCCGTCGTGTAGCAGATTTCTGTTCCATGAATTTGGCAAACACTGCTGACCGCGTTCGACTAAAGATGGCCGCCGCCACGTGTTCGACTGTACGAACGGCCACCCAGCGGTCGGCAATTAACCTGCGGTTAACCACCAGCCTGCGCGGTAAATAGTCTGCACACTTCCCCGTGTGTGTGTGGTCCACCTGTTCAGTAATTGGTTCGGTCAGACCCATTTACCGAACCATATGGGAAAAAGACATGCACAAAGTATTTTTACAGTCTGGGGACACAGTCTTAAAGGGGCATTGACACAAAAAGTTTCAATATGCCCATAGACTGTTTTTAAAGGGCCATAGTCATGAGGCAGGAGGCTGGCAATCTGGCTTCTCCATAAGCCAGGGGGACACAGCAGTTTGTCACATGAAAAACCTGTGACAAAAGGCATTTTGTCACAACCATAACCACCGTAAATCCCATGAACCGCCACAGCTTGGTTAGGGTCTCGCTGTCCTCCACCCACCCTGGACCCAAGACCAGGATCCGGATTCCAGTAGGTAGACCTCTCCTAGTCCGAAGAGCGAAGCAGGCTGCTCTAACGAGCAATTGTTGTGATCCAAGGGAGTATAGTGATTATAGCAATCCCCAGAGTGTGAATATTGCTCTCCAATCTTCAAAACATGAGCCTAGACTTCATGAACGAATCTGTTTAAACTGTATTAAACTACATTATCTCCAGGCACAGAAGACACACATTTTTACAAAACCCCCCAAATACCTTTTAAAACACACAAAATCCCCACAAAAGTTACATCACCTGATAGCCCCGATCTTCGTGACCAACAGATCCAAAAATCACCCAGATCGGTTCAGGGATTCAGGTATTTCATGGAAGTCATAACTTAACCCACCGCCTGCATGGTCCCATGCCTAAAACCGTTCCAGAGAATCAGGGCTTACGATCGGTCTAGTACGGTAGTTTAAAGATGAACAAACTACCAAACATAGTCTTACCCTGGAGCTTGTTCCCCTTGTTCGTGGGAACATAAATGCTATAAAACTCAACACAGGCTATCATGGAAGTCCAGCGGTGTTCGGGAGTTTGTGTCTGAAAATAGTTCCATGAACCCGACGACCAAACACCACTGCCCACCCACCTGCTCAGACAATTGGAGGACACCCAGGAATTTTGAGGACCTGAAGGCAACCACAGCGACGGCAAAAGAAAAATACACAAAGAGATGATTCCACTGGCTAAGATATGTTGCCTCGGATGACTTCGTGTCACTCCTGAATGCACCCGAACGTAGGGAGAGTCGACAGCCTATTGTACCAACGGGGTGGGGGGAACCGGGGCGGAGACTGGGGATAAAGATCGGCTGGACAGCACAGGTATCTGCCCGCCTCAGTGTTACCCACTCCTCTACCCACCCCCAAACCCCTCCTCCGCTCCCTCCAATTCCCCCCCCTCCTTCTTTCTGTGCCCCTGAATCTTGCCCACACGAACACGACCCAAATGGGACCCACACGGACACCCAGTTATAAGAATAGGAACTGAGATCCCAGGCAATAACTGACCACATGAATGGGACAAGCGCACATTACCACACAGACCACTAGGTCCTGCGACCGACGTCTCTGACAGCATCACCCACGACCTCACTGGATGGTGGACGTACACCGTTATACACACGCAGCCTACAGGGACACACAGCCATTCGACTACCTTATCACGCGTAAACCAACACCGCCAAGACAGCGATACCTACACCTGGCATGACCCATTACCAACAGCAAGGCCCCCCACATTGCATTAAGCAAATACATAAATGTCTCGCCAGCATGGCCACCTACACTGGTGCAGACGACAGACATGACATGGGAAAAAAACACAAACCTGGTTGCTATTTAGGCACTAGCGCATCTCACGCTATGTACCATAACAAATCTATGCACAACCAATGCCGCGGCTCTGAGCCGGATGCGGATATCGTGGTTAATGAATAATCTTGGACAGTCACACCAGGTGGCTTATAATGCGTATACACGGATCTGAACCTATATGCATATGCCGTATGGAAGCTTGATATTATGTTGTGATGCAATACCGGGCCTCTGCGAAGGCACATGCAAGTACGCCGTAAATTACTGTGCTAAGCCTTCTTCGTTTTTTTTCAAGGGCCCACAGGCTTTTGGTAAGAGGCTGGCCAGCAGGCCGCTCCAAGCACCTGTGACTAGGTTCAGTTCGTCAGTGTTGTGTGTTTTTTTTTTTTTTTTTAAATGTGGTGTTAAATGTAATGTTAGTGTTCCTTTAATACCCCTATTATAAATTAATGATGGACCATAATGAATGGAGTGAAACCAAAATTGCTAAACTCTGCAAAAAAGCAATGGGTGCACATTGTGGTTCATGAGCGGGTAGTGGGCCCTGTGAATGTCACAAGGGGGCCTCTACTGTCAGGATCAGAGTCAAGGATCAGAAAAATTTACAGTTAGAATCTACCAAATTTCTGGAAAATTGTATAGCTAGCTATTCATTTCCAAGTTTCACTCTACAAGGCAGAAATATAAGACTCTGAGGTGCAAGTAGTTTTTTTTTTTTTTTATTATTTATTTGAGCATTCTAGTCAATGTATGCTGAACCCTTGGAGGAATGATTGCTGTAATGTGTTCCAGTACCATTTCTGTTTTGGCAGCTCCAGTGTTGTGGGGTAAAGAATTACACATTCTGGCATAACAGCACATGGCAAATCGCCATCAAAAATAACTCCGTGCCTTATAGCTGCTGTAGGAAGAATGCAACCAATTGCACTGGAAACCTGACCAACATGGAGAAAATTAACACTGCGGTAAGGAGACAACTTCACTTTAGTTGTTTTTGTAACATCAAGTTTCATTAGCCTTAAACTCTTCTTATCGTGTGCATGATCCCCTGCTGTTGTGTGTTATGATACTATTGTAGGCTAAAACATCTATTGGCCAATCTTGATTTTAAGTAACAATTAATCCCCAACAACTTGATATTTACAAGTTTAAAGAGCCGTGAAGCCATTCTCTATCTTCTACTATCACACACAGGGCTGCGAAGATGTTCTGGAGACTCTGGTTCACAAAGTCCTTGAATATTCACTGTTTGTTATACTTGGATTTGCAGTGCTAGAGGTAAGTGCTCTGTGCACATCTTTCAACAACATTGTATTAATGAGGATGCTAGATGCAATTACTAAGAGTCTTCCTCTGTGTAAAAAGATATATTGTTTCCTTCTTGTTTAATTATGTTGCACTCTTTAGTAATATTAAATTGCAAAGTGGCAAAAATCTAATTTGTGCTCTTAGAAAAGCATTTTGCATAAGCCTTAAAGGAACACTATAGGGTCAGGAACACAAACCTGTATTCCTGACCCTATAGTGTTCAAACCACCACCAAGCCCTCTTGCTTCCCTAAATCTTACTTGTATTCATCTCTGCAGCTGCTGCCTCTGCCCCTGATCTGCCTTCCTGGTTGAGACTGAAAGAGGCACATCAGGGCAGAGCCAGCACAAGCCAAACACAGCCCTAGCCAATCGACATCTCCTCACAGAAATACATTGAATCAGTGCATCGCTATGAGAAAGTTCAGTGTCTGCATGCAGAGGGTAAAGACACTGAATGGCAGTGCTGCACACAAGGGAATGATTCTACTCACCAGAACGATTACAGTACACTGTAGTTGTTCTGGTGACTAGTGTCCCTTTAACTAGATTTTCTGACTACTTTTTATTTGTTGTTTTTACACGTCACGGTCAAAGGGATGGCAGAATACAAGAGTGCCACCAAGTGGTGTACATTATACCTACAGTTTATTTATAACCATAGCTACACAAACAATCTTGTTGCTGTTTGATACAATCTGCTGTTTGAGTTTTCTTATACTTAAACTGCTACTTAACCTGCCACAGTTTAACAAAAAACTGAAAGTTGGAAGCTTAACCACTTCAGGACGAAGTCAATAGTACACGTTCTGATCAAAACAAAAACTGGAATTTGCGCTATAGTTTGTCCACCTCTTTCATTTTAAGTGCACCCACACTTATTATATATCATTTTGTTCAGAAGAAACAGGGCTTTAATTTATCAAAACTATTCATATATGAAACGTAATTTCTTATGAATAAAATAAAAAACTGAAAAATTAAGATTTTTTTTTTTAAATAATGTGTAGTTCTGCCTGACATTTTAGCTGTAAATGTCATAATACTGTTAGCTTTTACTGCAATAAAATGCACATATTTGTAATCAGCAATGTCTCACGAGTACAACAGTACCCCCACTCCCTCCCCCCCATTTGCATTTCATTTTTTCTATCATTGAAATTTGCCAGTTTGGTAATGTTGCCTTTGAGATCGTATGGTAGCCCAGGAATGAGAATTACCCCCATGATGGCATACCATTTGCAAAAGTAGACAACCCAAGGTATTGCAAGAGGGGTATGTCCAGTCTTTTTAGTAGTCAAAGTTGGCATTCCTATTTGTTTTTGGGTGAAAAAAGCAAAAAAACAACAAAAGATATTTGGCCAGTGTTTGTGACTTAGTGGCTACTAAAAAAAACTGGACATACCCCGTTTGCAATACCTTGGGTTGTCTACTTTTGCAAATGTTATGCCATCGTGGGGGTAATTCTCATTCCTGGGCTACCATACGGTCTCAAAGGCAACATTTCAATGTAAAAAAAAATGAAATACAAGCCTTTTATATATGACTAACTTTCCAAAACACCATAAAACCTGTACATTGGGGGTACTGTTATACTTGGGTGACTTAACTGAAGTCAAACATTAGTGTTTCAAAACAGTAAAATGTATTCCAACAATATAGTCAGTAAAAATGCAATTTGTGTGTGGGAAAAATGCAAAAAAGTCACTTTTACTGAAAATATCATCGTTGTAATACAATTTATCATTTTGAAACCCTAATATTTGTGTTCAGCGAAGTCTCCCGAGTATAACAGTACCCCCCATGTACAGGTTTTATTGTGTCTTGGAAAGTTCCAGGGTTAAATATAGTGCTAGCAAATTAAATTCTCTGGACTTTCTGCCTGGGTTGTCAAACATGTCAATCAAATATATATTTCATTTTTAAAAAATTTTTTTATTTTATTGTAATTAAATATATATTATACATGTAACTTCATTCTAAGTGTATTTTAATACGAATATATGTAATTATATTCATATTAAAATACACTACGTATGATTCATATAGATTTCTTAACTCCTATTTTGTGTTGCACATTCATTCACTAATGCCTCTACTTTTTTTTGTTCCTTTTTTTCTTTTCTCTTTTCCCAGTTTTTCGGATTAATAAGCATTTGTGTCATAACTTGCCGGGGCTCCCGAAATGGATACCAGCTACTTTGAAGAGTGCCTTCGAAAAAATATGCAGATTTCCATTTCTAAGAATCAGCATTGTTTGCATGTTTTGCTGGCAATTCGAAATTGCATTAAGTTGCTACAAATGGATGGATCTCCTTTTGTGAACCCTGAAATGTCTGTCTGTATAGTAAAGGGACCAGTTACTAAATTAATAATGATTTATTCTAAGTACTTTGTATATTTAAGAGAACTTCTTCGTATGTTTTTGGAATAATTTTTTTTTTTGTACATAAAATAAAGACATTTTGTTTCAGTGAAAGTGTAATTATTTTATTGGCAAAATAATGTAATTTTGAAAGACAAAACAATGTAGTTTTACAATACTTGTATGAATGTAATAGACCATCAGAAGGTTATTGGATCTGTAGTTCAAACTGCAGGTCTGCAGGCTGGAGCTGCTCAATAATCAGACAGTAACTGCTCCCAGTTTATTTGAAAACCCGGTTTGTGAATAGTTCTATACACATACACAATGAGTGGCTGAGCAACCAAACATGCAGCTTGTGTTCTGTCCAAAAGCCAGAGAGAGCAGAACCCTGGGCACGTGCTGCCAGCACATCTTGGACATCAAAGGATGAGCAAATTACCTGCTATTCAAAGAGAAGGTGTTGTCTTATAACTGCAGTGATTTTGTTAAATTACTGTAGTTCTAAGACATTGTGTGCAGTGACATCATTGACAACAGACACTATGCACCATAACCTATGCAAAGAGAAGGTGTGGAATGGTACTTGGAGAGAAAATATAGGAGATTAAGTAACGATCCTTTCTAATTAAAGGTATTATCCATTCTGGTCTGCACCACTCTGCCCTCTGAAGGGTATATCAGTACATGCTTTTAAAAAAGATATCATGAGAAGAGTTGAGCGGACACCTGGATGTTCGGGTTTGCCGAACTTCTTCTTAAAGTTTGAGTTCGGGCTCGAACTTGACCCCGAACCCCATTTAAGTCAATGGGGACCCACACTTTTGGCCACAAAAATGCCTCTAAAAATGTTGTGGAAAGGGCTAGAGGGCTGCAAAAGGAAGTAAAATGGGGCTAAGAGTAAGGCAAGTGCCCTGCAAACAAATGTGAATAGGGAAATCACTTAAAATAAAATAAAAAATACAGCTGAGCCATAAAATAGCACTAAATGGAATCTTTGATTTTAGCTTTAGAAGAACATAAATCAAAGTCTAAAGCATGGCTGTCAGGAGGATCACCAGAATTATCCATTTGAGAGGGTTGGAGTGCAGGGTATTCTTTCATTGTTCAAACTGAGCTCAACTCCTGATGCATGGAGAAAAGGCCTTCACAAGCCTCTGCTATTGTGTACATAGTTTATACTAAGTGACCCATAGGTTGAGGAGGCGGTGACCGTGGCAGTGTATTTTAATTGGGGTAGCCCCCAAAATATTGGGACATATAGTAAAAAAACATTTGCGGCTTGCGGTTCATTTCTTGCAGTCCAAAAATGCCATCAGGTTTTTAAAACTGTCCATCTCCAGCAGACGGAATGACAACAATTCAAAGGCCAGGAAATTTGAATTGCTGGCATTCAGGGCCAGGGATCGCAGGTGGCTAGGGAGGTACTCAGTGGTGTATTTTGTATTTGTGCTGCCCTAGGCACGACTAAATTCGGGCACCCCCAAAATCTAAATTTGACCCCCCAATTCGTGTTAAGGCCACTTTTTTGACTGACAGACACATGCCCTTATTGATACATGCACTGATATACACTCATTGACAGATACACAGTCATTGACACACACATACAGTCATAAGTACACACTGTTTAACCAAAACACACTTTCACTGACAGACTCACACTGACACACCCACTCACTGACAGGCACACACTCTCAGATACACTTAAAATGACATACAGACACACTGACACACACTCACAGGCACACCCATTCTCACTGAAAGACACACACACTTTCACTCACTCACAGACATACACTGACAACTACACTCACTCTCTCACAGTAAGGTGGACAGCCCCAGAACACAAGGCAAGCAAGGCATTTGTCTGGGAGCTTGGGGTGGCATTTTTTGTCGCCCCCCCTGAAAGTGCCGCCCTAGGCAAATGCCTTGTTTGCCTTGTGGTAAATACATCCCTGGAGGTACTTCCTCTTTCTCTCCAGTGTTTGGGAGATGGACAGCTGAACGCTACCATGGGACAGTGTGGAAATGCTTGGGGACGGTGGCGGACGTGGTGGCGTTGCTGCCACATCCTCTGTTTGCAGGGTGGCAGGTGCCACTGTAACTCCAGAGGTGGAGGAAAAGGCAGAGACAGCAGCAGAAGAGGAAGCGGGAGGAGACTGAGACCTTTCTTGGTTTTTGAGGTGCTTACTCCACTGCAGCTCGTGCTTTGCATGTAGATGCCTGGTCATGCAGGTTGTGCTCAGGTTTAGCATGTTTATGCCTCGCTTCAGGCTCTGATTGCACAGCGTGCAAACCACTCATGTCTTTCTGTCAGCACATTGTCTGAAGAACTGCCACACCAGATAACTCCTTGGAGCTGGCTTTGGTGTGCTTGGTCCCTGGGTGCGGTGGGCAGTAGCAGGCATACCGTCTAGGGTATGGCTGCTCTGCTTTTGCACCCTGCTCCCTCTTATGCTGTGCTGGTGCCTCTGTGCGACCACCGCCTCTTCCTCCAAACTACACACGTCACTCGCATGACCTTGATTCCATGTGGGGTCTAGGATCTCATCATCCTCCACATCATCTTCCACCCACTCCTCAACCCTGCCCTCCTTGCCAGTCTGCACACTGCAGAAAGCCACAGTAGTTGGCAGCTGTGTTTCGTCATCAGAGACGTGCTACGTTGGTCCTTGCATGTCCACATCCTGACACATAAGTGGTCATGCATCAGTGCACTCAATCTCTTCCACTTCTGGGGCAGGGCTAGGTGAATGGCCCACAGAAACCCCGCCAGCAGAGTCATCAAAAAGCATAAGAGACTGCTGCATGACTTGTGGCTCAGACTGCTTGGCTGATTTGCAAGGGGGTGAGGTGAAAGACAGATGGCCATGGGCTGCAGGTGCCAACTCTGAGCTTTCAGCAGGGGACCGGGTGGGAGACAATGTGAAGGAACTGGAGGCACTGTCAGCCATCCACTCTATCGCCTGTACTTGTTCTGGTCTCACCATTCGTAGAGCGGCATTCGGGCCTACCATATAACGCTGAAGGTTCTGTCGCGTACTCTCACCTGAGGAAGGTGTTTCATTTGTGCGTGTAGCTGGCACAGATCGACCACGTCCTCTCCTTGCAACAGGTTCCACCAGCAGCACCACGACCAGGGCCACGTCCCTTCTTTGACGCTCTCTTCATTCTTTGCATTCACCCACCAAACTAACAGATGGTTTGTCAGGCGACAATGTAACTGCCAATAGTCAACAATTTTTTAAAATTTTTTTTTTTTTAGTTTATTGGACTGCAAGAAATGCACCGCAGGCTGCAAATGTACTATTTAGCACCAAAAAAATTTGAATTTTTGAAAGTGCGATGTAACCACAGTATTTGACGGTTCTATTTAACTCTCCGATATAAAGTGCAGGCATCAAATTTACTTTTTAGCACCTAAAGAATTAGAATTTTTAAAACTGCTATGTCACAGCAGTATTTGACGGTTCTATTTGACTCAGATATGAAGTGCAGGCCGCAAATGTACTATTTAGCACCAAAAAAATTGCAGTATTTAAAAATGCCTAGATGTTGCCCACTGAGCTACCAGAACAGGATTAAAGTAATATGTCTGGCACACATGCAGTTGCAAGTGCCCTGGGTTCAGGGCAGGGTACAGAAATGTAGTATAGCACCCACAAAAATAATCGCTGGTTTGCAGATTCAACACCAGAATTCTTTCCTAATCTGTCCCTCACAGCTGCAGCATCCTCTCTCTACAATAAGAGAGCTAAGGTACTGGTTCATGCTGTTGTTCTCTCTCGCCTTGACTATTGCAATCCCCTTCTCACCGGCCTTACATGTTCCCAGCTTGCACCGCTGCAATCTATAATGAATACAGCTGCGAGGCTTATTTTCCTGTCCGGTCGCACCTCCCACGCCTCCATGCTCTGTCAGTCCCTGCATTGGCTTCCAGTTAGATATAGGGCCCAATTCAAAATTCTGGCGCTTGCTTACAAATCCCTACATAATGCTGCTCCAACGTACCTATCCTCCCTCATACACAAGTATGTCCCGTCGAGACCCCTGCGCTCAGCCCAAGACCTACTCCTATCCTCTGCCCGGATCCCCACCTCTGATGCTCGCCTTCAAGACTTCTCCAGGGCTGCACCTATTCTGTGGAACTCCCTTCCCTCCTCAATCAGACTTTCACCCAGCCTCCATTCCTTCAAAAAATCTTTGAAAACTCACTTCTTCATTAAAGCGTATCAATTAAACTCTCAGCAGGTTTCTCATCCCCCACCCCATGACTCCGTTCCTTCACCTGTCAAAAATTACCTACCAAGCACTCAATAAACCCTTCTGTAACAAACTATTTAATTCCCCTACTTTAACCCTTTGTGTCACTATACCCCACTCCCTCTAGCATGTAAGCTCATCGAGCAGGGCCCTCAACCCCCTCTGTTCCTGTACGTCAGTGGTCTGATCTCAATTATGTGTCTGTTAGTCCACCCATTGTACAGCGCTACGGAATTTGTTGGCGCTATATAAATAATATAATAATAATAATAATAAGAGCTCATGTGCGTGTGGCGCTACGCGACTCCAGCTTTTATATAGAGGCTGGGTCACATGCTGCACTGGCCAATCACAGCCATGCCATTAATAGGCATGGCTGTGGTGGCTTCTAAGGGCACACGAGTCAAACGCTTGTTGATCGGCTGCCCTGCAGCCTTTCGAAATGCGCCATTAAATCGCCGAACATACACTGATATGTCCGTGTTCGGGTCCGGGGTCCAAAAACCGTAATGTTCGGTATGAACCGGAACTTTTCAGTCCGGGTTCACTCAACTCTAATCTTGAGCCATTGCAGGTGATTAAAACATGGTTTTTAGATTAATTATTTATTTTTGGCAAGAGTAAATATATAATGTAATGCAAGCTTCTTTTTTTGGCAAGAATAAGTCGGTAACATATTGCAGTCTCCCTGAAATAAAGAAACATTCTGATGAGCAGCTGTAATCTGTCGAGATATTCCGCTTTAGATGTGTAGCCATATTTGTTCAATGCGGAAGATATCACGAAGTGTGGTCTTGGTCACAACTTCACTTCAGCGCTTACATTCTCCACCATTAAATAAT